TCATGAGAGCCTTGAACGGCGCCGTTGAAATCAGCTTTTCCTGCATTTGGACCGCATTTGGACCGCACATTTGGCCCTTCTTTCTGCTCCTCCTCGCCCTTCCTATTCCCCCTCCCCCTCGTGCCTCTAGTCTCCCGTGTAGAGGGCCCCAGCTCCTCCGAGTCCGGTGTGGCGGCGACGTCAGGACGCGTGCGGGTGACGTCACCGGAGCCGTGGAGACGCTGTCTTACCTCGGCGCCAACGGACGGGTCAACCACCGCCCACGAGAAGCTTCTTTCGCCACCAATGTCTGGTGCACGGCACATGCGCGAGTGGGCAAGCGGGCGATCCGTTGAGGGATTCTGCCTTCACGCCTGGCGCGTGGCAGCACCTGACAGACCTCAGGAGGGGAAAAAAACACGCAGACACAATTAATCGTCGACTCCCAGGAAAATATGGGAAAATATGGGAAGTGGGGGGGAAGACAAAAATCCAGAAAATATTGGAAAATATAGGGAATCCAGTTATTTGTGTGTATTTATTTGTGTGTCCCAGGGCCCCTTCAAGACCGGTACGTTCGCAAGTGTGGGCGGCCAAGACCGGAATGGGCCAGGCATCTGCGCCAGTACGCCGTGCGAGTCGCTGGGGAGGGTCGCTGCTGGGACTACCTGCGTCAAGCCGAGAATATCAGGAGCGGGCGCGTGACGGCGGCATTCGAGCCCTAACGGGCTGCCAGCATCGCGCTCGCGTGTCCCCATTCTTCCCCTACTCTTAAGTCGGGCCTGTCCCCCTACAGGGGGATTTCGGACGAGTAATGAAAGATAGTTACCCCCAAAAATTCAAAAATTGTTTCAAAATCGTCCCCAAACTTTTTTAAAACTATTTTCGAATATTCCCCCTGTGGAGGGACAGGCCCGACCTAACCATCCGCCTGTAGGCTGAATGGAGCTTCTGTCGCGAGGAAGCGGCCCTGGAGGCAGCCGCCCCAGGTTCCCCCCTCTCGCGCCCCCTGGGGCGTTCCCCTTGCCGTTCGTCCCTCCGTCCTTCGCTCCGCCTCGCCTCGCGCCCTCCGCTCGTTGTGCGTCCCTCTCTCCCTGCGCGCGTGCTCCTTCCCATGCTCTCAAGCGTGAGCTCGTTCATCATGTGGCGCGTGCCGACGCGCCCCGGGGCGTGGCCACCTGGCCTGTCCTGACTTGAGCTCTCCTCCTCCTTTCTCCTTTCTCCTCCTCCTCCTCCAAATCTGGTCCAAGGGTCCAGGCTCGCATGTGTTCGGGATCGGGCCCACATCCTGCCCACATCGGACAGCGCCGGGAGCCACAGACACCAAAGTTGTGTAGCAACCCCGGGGGAGAAAACGAGAGGACGGTCGGACCGATGTATAAGATCGAGGTCGGTTCGGGGAGGGTGCAGTCATGTCCCTTTGTGTGTTTGTTGGACGCTTGTGTGCATCCTGGGGGAGGGTACCCTCGAATGCTATTCAGTTTGGCCAGCGGAAGTGATCGGGGGGCGCGTAATGGGGGGGCGATGAACGGGGGACAGCGAGGTCTGCCCCTTTCGGGCCCAGAGAAAGGCCTTCAGGGCCCGAGAAGGGTACTTTTTTGCCCCGCCCCCCAAGTATCGCCCCCCCACTGATTCGCGCCCAAGCTGTCCTGGGTCCGGCCGGAGGAGGGGGAGGCAGCCACGCCATAGGCCACCGAAAGAGAGAGAGAGAGAGAGAGGAGCAAAAATGCGCGGCCTGGCGCGGGCGGCAGGCGCACCCGTGGCACTGCGTGCTGGAACTGCCGCGGGGGCGCCGGGAGCGAGGCGCCGCTGCCGCCGGGGTCGGGCGGGGGCGCGCCTGCGCGGGTCGGGGGCCAGGGGGCGGGGGTCAATGCCAACGGGGGTCAGTCAGGGCGCCAGATGTTGCACAATTCTGCAGGGCCAGGGTCGCATTGACCTGGGCTCGGGTGCAGCATCCTGCAGGATCCTGCAGGATCCTGCGAGTTCCGACTGGCCTGGGTTTGGCTTGGCCCGGGCCAGCAGATCCCTGAGCGGGCCTCCCCTCCCTCCCGGATTCCCTGCTCTCTCTTCCCTCGGGGCCTTGAGATTCAGCGGCGGGCGAGGGTGAGAAGTGATAGGGGGCGGGCCTTCTTAGAAGGCTCGGAAGTCCTCGAGCCTTTTCGGAGAATTTGCAACCATCCTGTGGTGTTGGGTCCCCGTTTCGAAGGGACAGCGCCCCGCGTTCCTCACCTCCCGCTGCCCCCTCCCCCTCTCCCGCCGTCTCCATTTCGGCACACCCCTCACACGTTTCGTGGCCCCATAGGAAGCTTCACCGAAGGCCCCAGTGGGAAAGTTTGCATGGCACCGCCGCCTCATTTCGGCACACCCTCACTCGCTTCGTGGCCCCATAGGGAGCCCCGCGGAAGGCCGCAGTGGGAAAGTTCGCATGGCACCGCCGCCCCATTTCAGCACACCCCACACATTTCGTGGCCCCATAAGGGGGGGCTCCACCTAAGGTCACAGTGGGAAAGTTCGCATGACACCCCCGCCTCGTTTTGGCACACCCCTCACACGCTTCGTGGCTCCATAGGGAGCTCTACCGAAGAAGTTCGCATGGCACCTCCGCCTCATTTCGGCCCACCCCCACACGCTTCGTGGCCCCATAGGGAGCTCCACGGAAGGCCGCAGTTGGAAAGTTCGCATGGCACCGCCGCCCTATTTCGGCACACCCCTCAAACGCTTCGTGGCCCCAGAGGGAGCTCCACCTAAGGCCCCAGTGGGAAAGCTCGCACGACACCGCCGTCCCATTTCGGCACACCCCTCACACGTTTCGTGGCTCCATAGGAAGCCCCACCGAAGGCCCCAGTGGGAAAGCTCGCATGGCACCGCCGCCCCATTGCGGCACAGCCCTTACACGTTTCGTGGTCCCACAGGGAGCTCCACCTCAGGTCCCAGTGGGAAAGTTCGCATGGCACCCCCGCCCAATTGCGGCACAGCCCTCACACCCTTCGCGGCTCCATAGGGAGCTCCACCGAAGGCCCCAGTGGGAAAGTTCGCATGGCACCTCCGCCCAAATTCGGCACACCCCTCACACGTTTCGTGGCTCGATGGGGAGCTCCACGGAAGGCCCCAACGGCGACGTTCACGTGCGTCTGCCCGACTCATTTCGGCACACCCTTAAAATGCTTCGTGGCAGAAGGCTATACCGCGTGCGCTCCTCGGACTTTGCGCGCCCCCCTCCTTCGTCTCATCTCCCTCGCGGTACTCGCAGCTGCATATGGTTGGGTCCTTTGTCGGGCTAATCGTTCTCAGCCTTCCCCGAAGACACGAAGCACTTTTCAGAAGGCTCGAGGGCTTCTGAGAAGCCTTGCCGCCTTCTGAGAAGGCCTCTCCTTCTCACTTTCCCTCTTCGCTCGCCGCCGAGAGATTCTGGCGTTGCATTCTTGTTCACGATGGTCGGTTTCGACGGATTTCGTGCCCTGGGACCCTTACAGATCGATCCGGACCGAAACAACAAACAGACAGAAAAGAAAGATGTGGTCTAGGGTTTTAGTGTTTTTTTTGTTGCGACGTTGCAATTTTTGGCAACGTCAGATGTGAGGGTCCCCTTCCCGGAGTTCCTGCCTCCATCCCTCCCTCGGGAGGGAGGGAATCCGTCCCCCCTTCCCTTCGGAGGGAGGGAGGCTGAGGCAGGGGTGACCTCCGTCGGAGGGAGCCCCCCCTCCCTTTCTCCCCTTCGACAACACGATGGCGATGGCAAAGACGACAACTGAGGCGACAGAGACTACGGCTGGGTGCGACCAAGGCTGCGACGACGACCACGGCCGCAGCGACCACCACGCTCGCGACTGTGACGACCACGCCGATCACGATCACGGCGACCTGCTGCTGCTCCTCCCCTCCCCCCGCCCTCCTTCCCGTCCCCCTCCTCCCTTTGGTCTCCCCCCCTCCCCCTTCCCCTCCCCCTTTCCCCCGCCGACGACACGCCGACAAACGACAAAGACGACGACGACGGCGACGACGACGACCATGACCACCATGACCACCATCGACCACCATCGACCGCGACCGCGACCACGACCACGACGACGACGACGACCACATCCTTTTCCCCGAGCGTGGCTATAATCACTTGGTCCTGTATGACCGCACGTTCCCATTGCCAATTGGCCACCTTGCGTGGGAACTGTACTTGACCGATGTTTAGCCCTGGTATCAGTCAAGCTGGAAGCACTACCCCCGAACAGCCCAGACAGGCGCGTGCAGGAACATGGGGCGCGGGCAACATCGGAGAGGCCCGGATCGCCGAGACAGTGCACGACAGCGCAAGCTCTTAGGGAGGTGGGCGGAGACGGAGGTTCCGATCCCGGGCTGTTGCTGCCCGATCCGACGCGCATTTCGATCCGATCCGAGTTCTCGATTCGATGCGGTCTGACCGTGCCATGAGGAGGAGGAGGAGGAGGAGGAGGAGGAGGAGGAGGAGGAGGAGGAGGAGGAGGAGGAGGAGGAGGAGGAGGAGGAGGAGGAGAAGTCGGACGGCATCAACGGCCTCGACGATCATCCTCAGGACGTTTGTTGACCCAGTGTGTGTGTGTGTGTGTTTACCCCGCTCGGCTCCAGCGACGGCACCCGTCTCGTGCCGGCCCTCACTGCGCCGCCTGCGTCGTGCTGGCTGGCCGCCGTGGACACGCACGCGTTGGCGGGCTAACACGCGTTCCGAGGCTCGTCAAACTGGGCGCTGAGACCCGCAGCTTCGATGCTCGTTTCGGGGACCTTCCTGGAGCCCACCTAACGGATCTGTTCGACCCCAGTTCGACTCAAGTTCGACTCAAGTTCGACTCAGGTTCGACTCAGGTTCGACTCAGGTTCGACTCAGGTTCGACTCAGGGTCGACCCACATCGACTGACGTTCGACGCAGCTTCGACGCACGAGTGGAGCGAGTGGCTCCAGGAAGGTCCCCAGAACGAGCATCCAACGCAGCGGGACCCGGCTGGTCAGATCAGCGAGCGAAGTCGTGAGCGCCGACCTTGCGGCCCTAGCCATGCCCACGGCGCCGCCGCTGGTCCGACGCAGGCCGCGGTGGCGGCGGCGTCGACGGCGCCAGGCGAGCGGGTGCTCATCCCAGGCGGGGAGCCGCTCTGCAGGTGCGCCACCGCCGCCCCGCCCGCCCCCCTCTGCGCGAGCAGGCGGAAGGAGTCGTCGTCGTCGTCGTCGTCGTCGTCGTCGTCGTCGTCGTCGTCGTCGTCGTGGTCGTGGTCGTCGTGGCCGTGGTCGTGGTCGTGGTCGTGGTCGTGGTCGTCGTCGTCGTCGTCGTCGTCGTCGTCGTCGTCGTCGTCGTCGTTGTCGTCGTCGTTGTGACCCCCCCGGCGGGGACGGGACAAATTAAATGGGATTCCAATCGACGCAATTACGACATTGTTCTATCCCCCTTATGTGTTCGCTCGTTCTTACGACAGCGAATCAAAGGTGGCTGGCCTCGCATCGAAGAGCCTCTCACACACGCCGACCGTGTCGACGGAATTTTTCAAGGAAATCATGATGTTCATGCATACGGGGGACGACCAACAACAATGAGTTATCATTGGTTGTTCCAAGGAGTCACCGTGAACATGGCCAGGTTGGCCGTGAACACAGCCGTGGTCGCCCGCGTGTGGGCGACGCCCACAAACATTGGGCTGGCCATAAACACGGCGGCGTCCACGCATGCGGGCGACGCCCACAAACATTGCACCCGGCATACGACCGTGACCGCGGCGGGCTGGCCGCGAACACGGCTGTGTTCACGCATGTGGGCGACGCCCACAAGCATTGCCTTCTCTGCCTTCTGCTCCTCCTCCTCCTCCTCCTCCTCCTCCTCCTCCTCCTCCTCCTCCTCCTCCTCCTCCTCCTCCTCCTCCTCCCCCTCCTCTGCCTCCTCCTCTCTGCCTCCTCCTCTTCTACCTTATCCTCCTCTGCCTCCTGCCCTGGTCCTGTGGTCCTGGGTCCGCCTCCTCCGCTTGTCCCGCTGGCCCCTGGTTCCGGGGTCGGCCATCCTGGCCTGGTCTGTGCGCGCCTGTCCGCTGCGGGGTGTCTTTTGATGCTGTGGAGCTGCTGCCGCCGCTGGTGTGGAGTTTACCTCACCACTGGACCAGCCTGCGGCTCTGCAGGTGGTGCGCGCATGCCCGCCAGCTCTCGCCTGGAAGGTCTTCCTGGTCGATGGCGCCCTCCTCTGAGCGACAGCGAGGCCCGCCTCCCGTTTGTTCCTCCCCCCGCTGTCCTCCCTCCTGTCTTCTTTCCCTCTCCCGTTGCGCGTAATTTAGGCCGCCGCTTAGTTCGTTGCGCCCTTGGGCGCCGCCCGACTGCTCTCCGGCGCGGTCGCGGTCAAAAAGTATACCCGCCAGCCCGTTCGGAAATTCTGCTCGTGAGGGTCGACGGGGAAGGGGCATGAAGAGACACACCTGGTGCGACAGAGCGGGCGGCCATGGTGAACGGAGAGATCTCTGGGAACAGCGGGGGGACTTTGGAGGGCTTCTTCGGGCCATCCCTGGGGCCCGCGTGGGGACGAGGGAAGGAGGAGGAGGAGGAGGAGGAGGAGGAGGAGGAGGAGGAGGAGGAGGAAGAGGAGGAGGAGGAGGAGGAGGAGGAGGGAGGAGGAGGGGGAGGGGGAGGGGAGGATGAGGAGGAACAGGAGGAGGAGGAGGAGGAGGAGAGAGGAGGAGAGGAGGAGGAGGAGGAGGAGGAGAGGAGGAGGAGGAGGAGGAGGAGGAGGAGGAGGAGGTAGGAGGAGGAGGAGGAGGAGGAGGAGGAGGAGGAGGAGGAGGAGGAGGAGGAGGAGAGCAGGGAGGAGGAGTGGAGGAGGAGGAGGAGGAGGAGGCGGAGGAGGAGGAGGAGGAGGAGGAGGAGGAGGAGGAGGAGGAGGGGGAGGAGGAGGAGGAGGGAGGCGGAGGAGGAGGAGGAGGAGGAGGAAGAAGGACGACGACGACGAGGAGAGAGGAAACGGATACGAAGAAGGCAAAGGAGGAAGGAGGAGGGAGGAGGAGGAAGGAGGAGGAGGAGGAGGAAGGAGGAGGAGGAGGAAGAGGGAGGAGGAGGAGGCGGAGAGGAGGAGGAGGGAGGAGGAGGAGGAGGAGGAGGAGGAGGAGGAGGGGAGGAGGGGGAGGAGGGGGAGGGAGGAGAGGGAGGAGGGAGGGAGGGAGGAGGGAGGGAGGGAGGGAGGGAGGGAGGAGGGAGGGAGGGAGGAGGAGGAGGAGGAGGAGGAGGAGGAGGAGGAGGAGGAGGAGGAGGAGGAGGAGGAGGAGGAGGAGGAGGAGGAGGATCGAGCAGCTAAGAGGCACGTTTGGTCAGGTGGGTTGGGCGATGGGGGGGCCCGAACGTGGCGCACTTGGCGCGGCGGGACTATGCGGCACACCTGGCGCACGTGGAGCACGTGGTGCATCTGGCGCACCAGGCGTGCCTGGCACGTTCGGGCCCCAGGGGTGCCTGGCGCGCGTGGCGCGCCTGGCACTCGTGGCGCACCTCGCCCCAGCGTCGCGCACACGGGGCCGGTTATGCTTCCCAGTAGCTGTCCATCCAACGACGACCGTCGAACATGTTGAGGCTCGGGTGTTATTTATGTGTTGGGAGGGCGGGCGTGAGTGGACTATACGGCTCTCGCTTGCTATCTAGGGGGGTGCTTTGATCCCTTCCCCTGCCTTCTCTCCCGGGCTTGGAAGGGCGCCCCGTGAGGGGTTACAGCGTCCTAAATGGCCCAACGTGGCCCCAAGACGGCCTCTGAGAGCACAAGATGGCCTCCAAGATGTGTCAGAATATTTCGATATGGTTCAAGATAGCCTCAAGAGGCCTCAAGACGACCCCACAACGGTTTCAGGTGCCCTCCGAGCCCTTCAAGGACCCCTTCCCCCACGATGCCAAAATGGCTCCCAAACCCCAGGGGAACCACTGTGTTTTGCCTTCTCGCTTTTTCGCTTGCGATGGGCCCTTGGGGCCTCAAAATGGCGCCAAGACGGCCCAAGAGAGCCCCAAGAGGGGTTCAGAAAAGCTCCAAGGCAGTCCCAAGAACGCCCGAGAGCGCCCCACGAGCGCCCCAAAAGGCCTCGAAACGCCATTTTTGAGCCTCCCAGGGGGGACCTGAATTTCGGACCCTTTTCTTTTCAGGTCATGGGAGCCCAGGTGGCCCCACGAGGCCTCCCAGACCCCCCCACCGAGCCCCAAAATGGCCCCAAGAAGGCATCCAGAGAGCCCCCAAAGGGCATCAAAAGTGCCCCAAGAGGCCCCGCGAGGACCCCGAGAGAGCCCCAAGACGGCTCCAAGAGACCTCCGAGAAAACGCTTCCAAATCGGTTGTTACACTTCACTCTTCTACACTTCCCCGATCAAGGCTACTTGCCAGCCGATCTGCTTCTTGATGGGCTGGTGAAGTTTTTTTTGTTGTTACTTTACAGCCGCAGGCGGAAGCGCCAGCGGCAGGCGGTCACGGTCGGGCTGCGGCCGCGACAAAGGGGGCGGGCGCGCGCGGGGCCGCGGTCAGGCGGCAGCAGCAGCGACCCAGGGCGTCTGAGCCAAAGCGTGCATATCCAGGGAGTCTGCAGGGCAGCCCCTGAAAGGAACATGCAATGGCGCATCCAGGGAGTCTGACAACAGGCACCGAGGAAGCCGAGCGCAGCCAAAATGGCGCGTAAAGCGTTCCCGACAGGTCGAGTAAGAACGGATGGGGAACGGTCCGAGCGGGACGTCAATCCAGGGAGTCTGATGGGTAGGCACAGACTGACTGGTGACACAGTCCAGCAAGGACAACTCTGACGGCGGCAGCGGACCATCGCGACGTCAGAACACGCATCCAGGAAGTGGAAACAAAGTAGCCAGGGAAAGAACCTTCCACAACTGAGATGCGCCTGAGCCCTTGGACCAGCGACTGGTAAGAGCACAGCAACGTGCACAAAGCCACACGGTAAAAACACGTGGTAGCTGGGAGTGCACCACCAAAGTGACTCAGCGCCACACATACGCGTGTAGGGTAGCACCCGAGGGACGGGACCGTCGTATACCCAAAACGCGTCCCTCAGAGTCACTTCGTTCCAGGGGCAGGTGGAGATTCGCGAAGCGTCCAGAATTCGTTACACCACCTACGCCCATATGGTTGGTGGGACCAAGGATTCATTACCAACGGTTCCTAGCCATGATTTTTCACTGACGGTGCCAGCATAATTATTATTTAGTAACGCTTCCAGGGGAGGGATTCTTTCATAACGGTTCCATCGTGCGGATTTTGTTGCTAATGGTTCTTCGTTGCGTTTTCTTTATTTGTGGTTCTTTTGTAAGGATCATTTGAGGTTCTTTAGTCCGGGTTCTTGACTACTGAGTCGTTCCCAAGGATTCTGCACGAACGGTTCGGTCCCTCAACAAGAGTTCTTGCGTTACGTTCTCTTAGTCATAAATCCTCACTAAACGTTCCTTGGTAAGGAATATGCACTAAACGTTCCTCAATAAGGATTAAGTTTGTAGTCATGATTTTTTACTGAGGTTCCTTTGGTAAGGATTCTCTTTCTCAACATTTTCATTTTTTGGTATATGTAGAGGCCGAGCTTGCGTGGGGTCGACATGGCCTGCGAGGCTTTGGCGCTTGCAGGCGCCTTAGTCTCGTCCACGGGATCGGGCATTTTTTGTTTTTATAACCCACCAGAGGCCTGTGCGATACGATGCAGCGCGTCCCCCCGCTAGAGGAAGCGTCAGAAACCAGGCGTACTTCTGGTGGGGGGCGACGGGAAAAATTGTGTACCCATTTGTGAGGGCTGGATGGTTGGTTTGGACCCGCATCAGAGTTGCTACCTTGTTGCTGTTGATTGTGATGATGATGACGGTGGTGGTGGTGATAAGAATGGTGCTTGTGATGATGATACTGGTGATGCTGTTTGTAGTGATGTTGATGATGGATGGCGATGGTGCTGGTGATGGCCATGGCCATGGCGATGGCGATGGTGATTGCGATGCTGATGACGATGACGATGGTGAATAGTTGGATGATGATGATGCTGATGCTGATCATGATCTTGATGCTGATGATGATGCTGATTCTGATGATGATGACGATGATGATGATGGTGATGATGATGATTATGCTGTCCATCATGTTGATGAGGACGAATGCGAGGATGAGGATGCGAAGATGATGATGCTGATGGTGATGATGCTGATCGTATTGGATACGATGCTGATGGTGGTGTTGGTGATGATGATGGTCGTGATGGTAATGGTGCTGATGGTGATGGTGATGCTGATTATTATGCTACTGATGCTGCTGCTGCTGATGGTGACGATGCTGATGATGATGATGATGATAATGATGGCGATGGTGATGATGTTGGTGGCGATGATGATGATGACGATGCTGATGCTGCTGGTGATGATGATGATGGTGTGGGTGATGATGATGGTGCTGATGCTGACGATAATGGTAGTGGTGGGGATGATGATGATGATGCTGATGCTGATGATGATGATGATGATGATGGTGATGGTGATGGTGATGGTGATGATGATGATGATGATGATGATGATGATGATGATGATGATGATGATGATGATGATGATGATGATGGTGCTGGTGATGGTGGTAGTGGTGGTGATGATGATGATGCTGATGATGATGATGATGACGAGGAGGTGGAGGAGGAGGGGGAGAAGGAGGAGAAAGAGACAGAGGAAGCGGACAATTCGCTGTATTTCTGCATTTTCTCTCTTTCCTGGACCTCGGCCCCACCCCTTTCGAGGTTGACCCCCGTTCGGCGCGGGGCGTACGCGGCCGCGGAGATGGACGCCCAGGAGTTTACAGAGAGCTTCGCCACTGGAGGGGGAGGGGATGCAGGGGGAGGGGGGAAGTTTTGGAGCGATTTCCAGAAGTGGCTTAAGGCTTCTGGTGGTTTTCGGATGTCTCCAGTGGGTCCAGCATGCTTTGGGGGGGGGGGGGGGGGGCACAGGGGGAGGGGGAAAGAAGCTAGGCGGTAACTCGCCAAAGCCTCAATCGCCCATTCCCCTTCTCCCCTCTCCTGCCCCTTTTCCCCCATCTCCTATCCCCGCCGCTTGTCATGCCCTCCTCCCTCCGTCGAGTGCGGGCGCGGCGAGGCGTCATCGCCAGGGGGAGGGCCAGGGGGAGGGCCGTGAGGAGGAGCAGGACGATGATGATGATGATGATGATGATGATGATGATGATGATGATGATGATGATGATGATGCTGACGAAGCTGATGATGGTGATGACGGTGATGGTGGTGGTGGTGGTGGCGATGATGGTGATGGTGATGGTGATGATGATGATGATGATGATGATGATGATGATGATGATGATGATGATGATGATTATGCTGATGCTGACGATGATGGTAGTGGTAGGGATGATGATTGTGATGATGATGATGATGATGATGATGATGATGATGATGATGGTGATGGTGATGATGATGGTGATGGTGATGGTGATGGTGGTGGTGGTGATGGTGGTGGTGGTGATGCTAATGATGATGATGATGATTCGGCTGCTGCTGCAGATTATGACGAGGAGGGTGAGGATGGCGAGGGGGAGGGTGCTAAGGGCGACGATGATGATGGTGATGCTGGTGAGATGCTGATGCTGATGACGTTTACTATGAGGAAGTGTATAGTGATGGTTCCAGCTATGAGGGGACGATGATGATGATGACGATGCTGACGATGTCGACGGTGACAACGACGACGACGATGCGGACGAGGATGAGGATGAGGATAATGCTGCTGATGATTCTGATGCTGATACTGATGATGCTGGCGATACTGATGATGCAAATGATGATCATAATGATTATGCTGCTGCTGATGATGAGGAGGATGTGGATGAGGATTGTGATGCTGATGATGATGCTGATTATTGTTATTATTTCGATGCCGATGTGTCATTATTCTTTTAATCATTAATGCAATTTTTGTTAGCATGACTTTTGCTATCATTATTATTGTGTTGTTATTGTTATTGCTTTTGTTTATTCTCAGTACTGTTAGTATGATGAGGATGATGACGGTCAGGATGCTGATGACAGCGATGATCATTACGATCTTGATGATAACTATGTGAATTCGTAGGATGATTCTCGGGAAGTTTGTGATAGTAGTCATGCTGTTGATTCTGATTATGTGGAGGAGGAGCAGGATGAGGGGTATGATGGAGTGCTCTAGCCTGTGCCGCCGATCCCTGCTGGTCCTATATATATGTATGTATATATATATATATATATAGATAGATGCGCCGAGATAATGATGTACACGTACCTGCATGCACATCTATGTAGATGTATATATATATATATATAGATAACTGCATATACACTTACATCGAGAGAGAGAGAGAGCTATCGAGGCCCATACAGTATACACATGCGTATATACATATATTCAACAGGCTTACGCCATTCCGCCGACCCCCAGACAAAGTCAGGCCCTGTGGGCGTCTTGGTGGGCGTCTTGGAAGCCTCGTCAGAGTTTCCTGGGCGCTTGCTGGATGTTTCTTGCACGCCGTCGCGCGCATTGGATGCCTTGAGGTGTCCGGATGCGTGGGAGGAGTGGCCGCCGCGCAGTCGCTGCTCCCCGCATGGGGCTCTTCTCTCCTGCGCAGCTCGGGAGGGAGCACTGAAATGTGTTGTGCGCCGCGCGTGACGCGTGATGCTTGCGGAGTGACGCCGCGCATGGTCGATATAACCCTCTCATCTTGGGATTCGGAGACTGAGGGAGAAGGAGGAAAAGGATGACATAGGTAAGCGGCGACGGTGAGAGGAAGGAGGAAAAGGAGGAGGATATCGAGGACAACTAGACGGTTTGCAATGTTGTCTGGATTTTCTTTGGGGCCCCCTTGTGAAGCCTCCTGGAGCTTATGCGGGCATCTCCAGGGCCTGCTGGCGGCCCAGGCGGCGGCCTCTTGGAGCTTTGCCGGGGCTCCCAGGGGGAGGAGGAGGACTAGGAGGAGGAGGAGGAGGAGGAGGAGGAGGATGAGGAGGAGGAGGAGGAGGGGTAGAAGTAGGATGAGGAGGAGGAGGAGGAGACGGAGGCGGAGGCGGAGGCGGATGGAGGAGGGGGAGGAGAAGGAGGGGGGGAGGAGAGGAGGGAGGAGGAGGAGGAGGAGGAGGACCAGGAGGAGGAGGAGAAGGAGGAGGAGGAGGGGGAGGAGGAGGAGGAGGAGGCGGAGGTGGGGGCGGAGGAGGAGGAGGAGGAGGAAGAGGAGGAGGAGGAGGAGGAGGAGGAGGAGTAACAGGAGGAGCACACGGAGTAGTAATGATAGTCAACATAGGCAGAAGCACGCACATAGTCATACTAGCACTACGGTTGCTAGTCATCATACTAATGATCATAATGCTGCGAGCTATAACAGCAATGATTCTAAAACGAGTAACATTACTGCTACTGCTACGTTTTAATACTTTTTGTTTTCATACTACCACTTCTTAGTAGTATTGATAGTCATACTCAGAGTAGTAGTGATGGTCATAGTAATACTAAGTGTAGTCATAGCTGTATCAATACTAGTAAATCTACGATTGAGGACCGTACTATTAACAAGACTCAGTCACATAGTGCTAGTACATGCAACATTACTTCTCATATCTCAACATCAACTACCACTAACACCACTGATTATACATTAAACATCTACACTACTTACAGCAACATCACCCATACTACTTATAGAAGGCTGAGGCTAGTACTCATCATGCTACAAGCAACAAGGCTACTATTACTAGCAGTGATTGTGTTATTACTGATGGTATAACTAAGTCACTTACTCATACACGTACGAACATTGGTATTTTTCTTAATCGTGAATGTATGAATTATAATACGAATGCGAATGCTACTACTAATGCCAGTACTACTACGAATAGTATTATTAACGCTGTTACTAGTACAAGGGGCTCGTATTAATTCTCATGCACATGCTAATGCGAATATTAGTGCTACTACTAATATTTTTCCATAGAAATATAATGAAACTACTAATACGACTACTAATACCACTAGTACGCATACTCATCATACTAATCATATATGCATACTACTACTACTACTACTACTACTACTACTACCACTACCACTACCACTACCACTACTACTACTACTACTACTACTACTACTACTACTACTACTACTACTACTACTACTACTACTACTACTACTACTACTACTACTACTACTACTACTACTACTACTACTACTACTACTACTACTACTACTACTACTACTACTACTACTACTACTACTACTACTACTACTACTACTACTGCTACTACTACTACTACTACTACTACTACTACTACTACTACTACTACTACTACTACTACTACTACTACTACTACTACTACTACTACTCGCGAGGTCATGGTTCAGTTTTGGCCTTAGTTTGGCCGCTTCGGTCGTTTTCCTGGAGGCTTCCGTCGGCGATTTGGCTCTTCCAGTCGAACTGCCTTTCGGTGCTGCAGCGTCGGCTTCAAATCTGTCGGGTGTTTCCTGAGGTTGCTGGACAGTATCGGGGGGGCAGCGCAGATTCTCGCGGCTGGCCCTCGGCGCGCGCTGAACTCTTGTGCGTTCGCGCACTTTCGTGGTCTTGGGGTCTCGCTGGAGTCTGTCAATTCGCAATTGATGGCCGAGGCTACTAAATATCTGGTTCGTGCCAAGTGTAAGGCGATTAACCAGGCCTGTCATGACTTTGCGCGGCTCACACGCGGTATGTGCGACGAAGAGGTTAGTCTTCATCGGCAACACTTTGCCTCGTGGAAGAATTCGATGGTGCGATGCACGGGCAGGGATTCTGTCAATATTCTCTCCCCTAGCGCTCGACGGGTGGGCAGCAGGATCCATTGGCGGGTGCATCAGTCTCCTCGCGGGCTTCTGGCTCGTATGGCGCCGTCGATCGATTTGCAGGTTCGTGTCGGTCGATGGCTTGTGGAGGTTCAGGTGTCTGTTGTAGTTTGCCTTCGGTCTCGGCTGAGCGCTCTTGAGAAGGCCGCGTGTGCCCGCCCCTCTCCCTGCTGGCGTTCTCGGGGCTCTTTCCAGGAGCGCGTGCGCCTCGGCCAGGTTTCAGTCGAGGACAGGTGTTGCTGTTTCCGCTGTGGCGGCCCTGATGACATGCTCCACTATAGATGTTGCGTTGTGTTCGAGTCTCCAGCGCCCCCTTGGATTCCAGGCGTTCGGAACCTGCCGGGACAGTGGGGATGTTCTTCCGAAGTCGATGAGTCGCGGTTCTCTACCTTGGCCTTCTTGGGCCCGATGTGGGGACTGGATTGCGATGTTGCTTCAGATCCGGTGCTCGACGTGTTTCTTCAGACCCACGCCCGCCACTGTCTTGGTCCTGCACTACCTCCACCCCAGGTAATACATGCGCGTTGGAGTTTTTTGGTTGCCAGGCGATATGAGAAGTATCTGCTGTTCTCCGTGGTCGCTCTCGACCATAGCTACGCTGTCACTCGGTTCTGTGCAGTTTGTGGGTTCCTTTTTTGGTATCTCTCTCGAATTCGGTTTGCTGTCTGGAATCTCGACGCCCTCTCGCCATGGTGGTGGCGCGCCTGGCCTGCCGTGGCCCACCAGGGTCCCACCGGGGATGCAGCGCCTCCTCTCGCCAACTGGGCGTGTGCCCGCATGCGGGCGGCGCGCCATCACGGACAAATGACATGCGGAGCCTTGGTGCGTCCGCGGTGGAAGAGAACTCCTTTTCCTCCTCCTTCTCCTCGGCCTCCTCCTCTTCTTGGTGTTGTTGTTGTTCTTCTTCTTCTTCTTCTTCGTTTTTCCTGCGTGACACGATGGACCCGTCGGCGCATAGAGAACGCATTGGCGCAATGGGAGGGATGGGTGGACGGGGTAGGCCGTGAGATGCGGCGCGCGCGCAGCTTGCTCTCCCTCCCCCGTTCCCATCCCCCCCCCGCAGCGCCGAGCGGGGCCAGGCCAGCGGTGGCTTGTCGAGAACGGGCGCCCGACCGAGGACCCTGCCACAGGCGCCCGCGGCCCCTGCCGAGGGAGGGGTGGGGACCGCGGCCACGTCGCCGCCGCTGCCGCTGCCGCCGTCGCCGCCGCCGCCGCCGTTGCCGCCGCCTCCGACGTCGCCGCCGTCGTCGCCGCCGACGCCGGCGTCGTCGTCGGCTTCTGCTTTATCGTCGTCGCCGTCGTCGCCGTCGTCGCCGTCGTCGTCGTCGTCGTCGTCGTCGTCGTCGTCGTCGTCGTCGTCGGGTCGTCATCGTCGAAAACCTCCAGAGACGCGGGGAAGCCTGAGGAGCCTCCCTCCCCAGGAGCAGCGCCCCCGACAAAAAAAACCCGAGAGACGCCGCCGACGGCGGGGCCCGCCGCGCCGAGGCCCAGCAAAAGACGAAGCCGACGAGAGGCCGCCGTCGGCACTCGTTCGGCGCGCGCATGGCCGCCGCCGCCGCCCCCGGGCAGGCGAGACCGTCCAGGACATCCGGGGCGCCTACGCGAGGCAGCAGCGCACCGCGAGCTTCGCGGTGGCGGCGGCCTCCCCGCGGGCCGCGGCGGCGGCCGCGGCCGCCCCCTCCCGGCCGAGGGCGGCGCGGGCGCGCGCGCCGGGCGCCGCGTGAGTGCGCGCCCGCGTTCCTCGCGCGCGCGGGGCCGCGCCGCAGAAAAAGGTTCCTCCTCTTCCTCGTCGTCGTCGTTGTCCTCCTCCTCCTCCTCTTCCTCCTCCTTCGCTTCCTCCTCCTCCTCCTCTTCCTCCTCCTCCTTCTCCTGCTGACGAGCAGGCGGGTCTCAATGGTGAATGTTTTGGACAGGTTGACGGACCTGCCGTGAGGAGTGAGGGAGGCCTGTTGTTGTCGGCGGTTTCTGGAAGTTCTGAGGCCGAATTTTTGGTTAGTGGGGAGGGGGTCCGAGGCTGTATCCAGTCGTGACCGACCGAGTGCTTCTGACCTCCTCCCGAACTTAGCGCGTAGTCAGCGTCTGGCCGAGTTAGTCGCTCGAGGGCTTTTGTCCCGTGCTCCTCCTCCTTCTGAGCCTCCTCCTCGTCCCCCTGGAGTGCGACCGATTCGCGGCCTTTCGGATCCTTTCGTGCCGATGCCGAGGCGAGCTCGATCCTCTCGAGGCCCTCGTGTGCGGCCGCCTGGGTAATTCGGAACACGTCGGAGTGGTGCCCATCACCCCCCTAGCTGGCACCCCCCAGCCAAAGGGCGGGTCGAGGGCCTCAGGTGGTGTCCCCACCAGCAGCGCCTGCTGGTGAGGGAAGTTGCGGCAATGCCGCCACTCAGGTGCAAACAGTTTTTTTTATCGAGGCTCGACCATCGACTGCACCCGAGAGTTCTTGCTTGCTTGCTCCTCCTCCTCCTCCTCCTCCTCCTCCTCCTCCTGTGGCCCTCTCGGCGCCGCCGTTGGGCGCCACGGGCCGCCGTGGGCCGTCGGAACACGCCTCCCGGGGAAAGGGCCGAGAGGTTCAGGGGCCGACAGTTCCTCGTGGGCAGCTTCGGGGAAGGGGTAAGTCGGGGGCGGCAAAGAGGGGGGTGATAACTAGGGGGGGGTGGATATCATGGCGGGGTCCATGATATTTCCCCAGATTTCATGGCGCCTCTTCCTATTTCATTACGTCCCTGGCCCCCCCGCTGGGCCGCGCACGTGCCGCTGGTCATGATTTGCACCCCCCCTCTTGGACACCCCCCTCTTGGCCGCGCCCGAGTAAGGGTCAAGGGGGGGGGTGCGTCGACCCCCAATCGCCCATGGGTCGCTGGTAGGGGCCCGATAGCCCACCCTGCCCGGGAACGCGCGGATTCGCGATCGGGGGCCTATCGCCGCTCTGTCGGCGATGTGTCGCCTATTTCAGGTCGATGTTTCCCTTCCTGGGCTGGTCCCCAGTAACGTTCCCCCTCATCCTGGGGAAGGGGCTGAGAGAGCCCACAGTTACGGAGACAGTTACGGAGACCCCTGTCGTCAGAGGAACAGACAAGAGAAAAGGTCGCTTATCTGAGTCTGCTTGCGTTCCTGATCCTGGCGCCCATATAGGAACACAGCCTGTGGCCCGAAGTCCATAGGGAAGATGAGCTCGGGAGTTCTGGAACCGCGCGCACTGAAATGATGAGGGCGTCGGAAGTCTCGAGGTGCATGTTGGCGATTGGCGGGTGAAGCAGCAGTCTGTGCCAGCTCCATCATTCGAGACCGCCGTTTCGCGCCCCACAGGGCGCCCCTCCTGCTGCGAAGAGCAGTCACGGGGGGGCGGCCTGGTGCCGAGAAGGGCGGTCACGTGGACGACGCATCTGTGAGCATCTCATAGTCTTCTCAAGGGCAGGTGCTCGCTAGAATCTGAGTGCGCGAAGCGCGTGCGTGGTCGAAGCTATGCGAGTCCCTCCCTTGCCCCCCCCCCATCCCCGTTCCCTTGGGCGACGAGGGGCTGCCCGTCGTGGCCGTGTGCCCCGCTGCCTCCTCGTGACCCTCCTCCCTGGCTCCTGTGACCCGCGTGCTCTCCCACCCCCCCAGCCTCTCGTGTCCCTCCCCTCTTGTGCGCGACCGCGTGTTTGTGAGGCCCGTTGCGTGTCTGTGCGGCCCCGTGCGTGTCTGTGTGGCCCGGCGCGCGGCTGCATGGGTGTCGCTGTGGCCCGCGTTGGCTTTGCAACCAGGTCGTGCATGTAGCTGTAGACCTCTGGGCAGGGTTGCATTCCCGCCCAATGCGGCCACGCGAACATCTATCTAGATGCGTGTTGAAAAGAATTTGGTAGTAGTAGTAGTAGTAGTAGTAGTAGTAGTAGTAGTAGTAGTAGTAGTAGTAGTAGTAGTAGTAGTAGTAGTAGTAGTAGTAGTAGTAGTAGTAGTAGTAGTAGTAGTAGTAGTAGTAGTAGTAGTAGTAGTAGTAGTAGTAGTAGTAGTAGTAGTAGTAGTAGTAGTAGTAGTAGTAGTAGTAGTAGTAGTAGTAGTAGTAGTAGTAGTAGTAGTAGTAGTAGTAGTCGCGTCGTCGTCGTATCGTATAATAGTAGTCGTCGTCGTCGTCGTCGCGTCGTCGTCGTCCGTCGTCGTCGTAGTGTAGTAGTGTAGTAGTAGTAGTAGTAGTATAATAGTAGGAATAGTAAGTAGCGTAGTAGTAGTAGTAGTAGTAGTAAGTCGTAGTAGTAGTCGTTCGTTGTAACCGTAGTAACCGTAGTAAGTAGTGTCGTAGTAGTAGTTTTAGTAGTAGTAGTAGAGTAGTAGTAGAGTAGTAGTAGTAGTAGTTATAAGTCGTAGTAGTAAGTAATAGTCTTGAGCAGTAGTAAGTAGTATTAGTAGTAATAGTAGTGTAGTAGTATAGTATAGTAGGTAGTAGTAGATAGTATAGTAATAGCAATCTTAGTAGGTAGATAGTATAGTAATTAGTAGAAGTAGTAGTAGAAGTAGTAGTAGTAGTAGTAGTAGTAGTAGTCGTAGTAGTAGTAGTAGTAGTGGTAGTAGTAGTAGTAGTAATAGTGATAGTAGTAGTAGTAGTAGTAGTAGTAGTCGTAGTAGTAGTAGTAGTAGTAGTAGTAGTCGTAGTAGTAGTAGTAGTAGTAGTAGTAGTAGTAGTAGTAGTCGTAGTAGTAGTAGTAGTAGTAGTAGTAGTAGTAGTAGTCGTAGTAGTAGTAGTAGTAGTAGTAGTAGTAGTAGTAGTCGAAGTAGTAGTAGCAGTAGTGATAGTAGTGGTAATGGTAATGATAATTGTAATGGTAGTGGTAAGCCTACTGCTAGTGGGAATGGTAATGGTGATGGTGATGGTAATGGTAATGGTAATGGTAATGGTAATGGTAGTATTCGTGGTAATGTTCATGGTCGTAGTCATGGTAATGGTGATAGTAATGGTAATGGTAATGGTAAAGGTAATGGTAATGGTAGCTGTAATGGTAATGGTAATGGTAATGGCAATGGGAATGGAAATGGTAATTGTCATCGTGATGTTGATGTTGATGGCGGTGGCGGTGATAGCGACAGTGTCAGTAGTAGTAGTAGTAGTAGTAGTAGTAGTAGTAGTAGTAGTAGTAGTAGTAATAGTATTGTAGTAGTGGTAGTAGTAGTAGTAGTAGTAGTAGTAGTAGTAGTAGTAGTA